TTTTTGCACCAATATTTTGAATTTTAGGGCATAACTGCATTTATGGAGTTGTTGCCCTGCATCATGTTTGTCAACAGTCAACTATGAAATGTAAGATGATGTACAGGTCTGGGGGCGGGGCCAGTGCGTTAACTGCGTTAAAATATTTTAATTGTGTTATTTTTTCATAACTAATTAATTAACGCGTTAAACTGACAGCCCTAATATATATATACGTACATTTTGATCAAGTTGATAATTTAGAGGCCTTGTATCAAATATGTTACAAATGTATCAAATAGGCTTTATATGGTAAAATGTTTAGAACAGCAACTTTAATCATTTTTCCCCTATAGAAAATGATGCTAAGTTTCCATGAGGAGGAGGAAGGCTTACCAGAATCGTTCCTCAGTAACTTCCCGTCACTCATTAAAGTGGACATTCATGCAAAGGTTACCGACCCCAGTGTTGCCAAAAGCATGATGGGATGTCTCCTCTCATCATTGAAAGCCAATGGTAGGTAAAGTTAGGTTGTGTGGCATGTGCATTTATTTAACATGATACATTATTAAGTGCTATAGTAATAACATTGTTATTACACAGTAATTGGTAATTAAATACATTGTACATTAAAGCTCTTACATTTTAAATTCTGTGTGATCTTCCCTCTCTTACCACACTTTACTTTGACTTTAGTAAGCAGTGTTTATAGTTCATAAATGTCGGATGTTGACATGTTAGAGGACATGAAAAGCTGCAGTGATTTGTTTAAATTCTTTGTTTCATAAACGCATCTTTTCCTCGGTTGTCAGGTTCACATGGTGCTTTCTGTGAGGTCCGGCAGATGGACAAAAGGATGTTGGACTTTTATAGCAAACTGGGCTGCTTTGAAGTGGCCAAAATGGAGGGATTCCCAAAAGACGTTATAATAATGGGGAGGAGTTTGTGAATCTGAGCCGCTGAGAGAAAAAAAAAAGCATACAGAAGCAGCCTCCCAGAAATTGCACAAAGCTTCGGCCCCAACACGCTACCTGTTCATGTGACTATCACAAGTTTTGTAATAGCAACTCTGGTGGCCTGTAGCTTCGTTCACATCATATGCCGAATGCACTTCTAGAAATTTAGGTGCTGTTCATTCACTTTGCCAGTGTGTGGGTCTGCAAGGGTAATTCAGGACGCATGAGTTACTTTGAGTTTTTTCTGGTGGACCGTTTGCTTGAGTTGGCCAAGTGCCATTGAACCCACTAAATCTCTTAGATATGGCCGAGCTGCAGTTTGTGTTCAGCATATGTGCGTGTTTAAGTTAACGTCTAGATTCTCCAGACTAAAAACTTGCCGTTACTTGATAAGAGACATCTTCACTTTGCTGTTTTTAATAGTGCTTTACAATGTTCAAAGCAATAATCTAGAAGGACTTCATAACAGTCAGGGTTTGTGTTATTGCTTTCCAGGACATTGTAATAAATTCTGCCGTTTTCCAGGTTCAAACGGTGTCTGTGAGCTCTCGTATGGAGAACACAGCAGCCTAAAGCTATCCTTTGAGGTTTGGGATGCTGCTCGGGTATTATTTAGAAAATAAAAAACACTGAAATTGAACTTTGAGCAGGCAGAAGTAAATACAGTTAAAGTCTGTTGTCTTCAAGACCGCATGGGGTACTTTTGTGTAAGCTGTTTTTAATAGTGCTTTACAATGTTCAAAGCAATAATCTAGAAGGACTTCATAACAGTCAGGGTTTGTGTTATTGCTTTCCAGGACATTGTAATAAATTCTGCCGTTTTCCAGGTTCAAACGGTGTCTGTGAGCTCTCGTATGGAGAACACAGCAGCCTAAAGCTATCCTTTGAGGTTTGGGATGCTGCTCGGGTATTATTTAGAAAAGAAAAAACACTGAAATTGAACTTTGAGCAGGCAGAAGTAAATACAGTTAAAGTCTGTTGTCTTCAAGACCACATGGGGTACTTTTGTGTAAGCCTTTAGCATGTGTATCTTTTAAGGATACAATTTTTTTTATTTTGTACAAAACGCCTTTTGGCTCTTGCCCTCCTCTGGAATATATTTGAGGGTAATGAAAAGTAATTTCCTACAGTTCTTTCTTTGATTAAAATGGTAAATTATACAATTCTGAGACACAACAGGGCTACATTATAATTCTGAGATGCTGATGTTTACCACAAAAAAAAAAGTACAATTAGTATTGTAAACCTCAAGACCAATGCCCTGTCTCTAATTAGAGTGAAAACAGAAAATAAATGAAGGTACATTAGTGAATTATCTTTAAATATATATTTTTTTCTGTTGTCTGAAGAGAATAACTTTGCTTGTTCTTTAATGACAGTCTGCCTCTTTGTCAATCTATTTAAAAATCCCTACAGTTGGGTTTCTCTGAAGTCCACTCTGCGTTGTCAGTGCTAGGATTGTTTTCCTGAACGTTGGTGCAAAAGAAACTGTTTATTCTGTATTTACTCCCTTTTTTAACCAAAATTTCTGACAGTTTTTTTTTTGTCTTTTTTTTATTTTTCTGTATTGTGCTATATTCTGAAAAACTAGATGAGCACAAAAGGCTCCTGCAGATTACCGTATGTAATGTTTAAAATGCCTGATTTAAAGTAAAATGTAAATAGTTTTGTGCATGTGATGGGCCAACACTTGACAGTTTTTTTCACCCCATTTAAGGGAAATTTGTACGCAGAAATGGCTGTTGTTTCTCTATATGGCTTGTTGCTTCATTTTATTTTGGTTGATCACATCCAATGTAAAGGGCTTTTCTTTTTTTAAGGCTTTTCTTTTTTAATCCAATGCATATATTTAAAAAATGAAGACCTTTCTGTACTTTGATGTAATTATGATTATGTATATGTATTATAGTTGTAATTTCTGTAAGGGTTGTATGTAATTTAAAATGGCTATTAAAATGTTAAATAGGAAAAGAAAATCTGTGGTTAGTGAGTTAAATTTAAAAATGCTTTCTAGGGCCACAGTTGCTACCCCTTCCAAACTCTTATTTGTCATTTTTTTGTATTTATTTGTAAAACTTCGGGGTGGTTTAAATTGTTAAAAATTGAAACAATCCAAATTTTATTGCATGCTAGTATATGTAATTAATAGTCCTGGAATGTAAAGTTTCTGAGATGGATAGAAAACCAAAGTTAAGTTATAATCAACTTACTCAATTAAACAATTAAAGGCTAATAATATAAAGGGTAGGCTAAAACGAATAAATGATAACCTTCAAAACAAAAACAGCCATATCAACGAGGACAAATCAATGTGGTATTAAGAATTGTAATAATTTATTGCTATCAACAAAAACAAAGCCCCATCTTTTTTATTCTTAATTTTTTGACGTAGAATTCCGATACTGTACCAAATTAGCAAAAAAAAAAAAAAAAGACTAGCCCTCTTCCGTGTCCATGTTGATGACGTCTTGATTCTTGCGACGGTTTTCGCGTACTCGTCACATGTGTTTTGAAAACGCGACCTGCACTGTAGTGTGGATGTTATAGCCTCTATTGAAGTGATTTTAGTAACGTTTGAACAATTATGTCGTTTGTGGAGGACGCAGTATTAGACAGTGGAGTGGACTCGCGCTCGCGGTTGGAAACCTATGTGTTCAGTAAGATCAACAGTAGCGCGCTGCATGCTTTGTACATTTGCTAACACGTGGGACAACGGTGTTCTGGCGATTTGTGCTACCCGCTCAGATTGTGCTACCTCCCATTAAAAAGATGGCACAAATCGATAGCGAAAAATGCTACCTATCAGATTGTGCTACCAGCATCTTATTTATGTGGTTTGAGGCTTTTTTTTTTATGTTCATACCTAACGTTACCCCTACCCTGAACCTACACGTGCATGCATACCCTAAACTTACATTTAAAACAATGCAAATATTTTTTTAGTAGCACAATCTGATAGGTAGCATGTTTCGTCGGTACAAACGGCAATTGTCAATTTTCTCTTATAATTGTAGCCAATGGTGTTTAACGTTCATCTAAAGAACCCTGGGTCACTGTGCATCAAGATATAGTTCAAACGTCGTCGTTTTCTGTAATTCCATTCATTTATGCTTTTAAATTAAATATACCCATTTAATATTGTGGTTTTGGATTCCTTTAGGTTGTGAGTTGTCTTCTGAAGTTCCATTTTACACATTTCAAGCAGATGAAGATGACGATGTGGAACATTTTCTCGAGCTTCGAATGGTTCGTAGACTATTTTGTTGCAAGAACAGTGTTGTTCCAAAACTGAATGGCTCTGTATGGGTCAGCATTTACTTTCAATGCACTTTCTATGCAGTGCTAGTGAATGGTGACTGCCGTGTTCTACAAACAAATAATTTGGGTTTAATACGAAAGTGAAATGATTATAATATTTTTTTTTATTTCTGCCTGATTTATGCTTTTAAATCGGTATGAAATTAAAATGCACCCTATCAAATCTATTTTATAAATGCATGTCATAGATATGAATATTTCAACAATTGATAAATGCATACATGTATGTTTGTTTGTTTATTTAGACCTTTTTAAATGTTTAATCAAAGTGTTCTAACTGTGATCTTCTGGTGAAATTACAGACTTCTCTCTGGTAACATATGCAGGACTTCTCCAATCATTTAAGATGTGTGCAGATTCTAAAAATATTGCAGGCAAAAAGATTAATTGTCTATTGTCCATAGACTAGAGAAATGAAGCACAGCTCACACCAAAGTCACTTTCAAACCAAAACAGCTTTCTGACGGTGAAAGTGGTGAATCCATGTGACCAGCTTGAATTTGTTGCAAAATTTGCATGGGGAAATCTTCTGCTCTCATGTGAAATTCCAGATTTAATGGATTCCTATTGAAATGACTGGATTTTGCATGCGAAAATTTGCTGAACCACGGTAGATGTCACATTCATCTGCCTCCACTTTTAATGCAGGCCCACATCTCAAAATCCAGTGAACAACCGATGGATAGAACCAAGTCCCTGTCCTACATTATTTCTTTTCCGATGGATGTCACAAAATGGAAGAAAAGATCTGTCGCTGCTTGATGACGTGCTTTTAAAATCATAACTATTTACCTTTCTCTCAAACCATTAGATTTGTCTGGGTGACGGTGCCAAAGAGGAGAATAATGTTGTGGAAGTGACCGCTATGAATCACCAAGGAAAGAAAATATCAGTGCCTGTAGCTAATCTCAACATTTCCTGCCTGCCTATGGTAATGCGACATATTTCGGAGTTACTTTTTTTAATTATACTGTTGTACATTATAAGTGTTCCAACATATTGCAAGTTTTTAAATCCGTTTTTCACCTCTGTTCTTACTCAGGTAAGCCTCGGGGAGTTTGAGTTGATGGCTCCTGTCACACTACGCCTTAAATCTGGAACTGGACCAGTGACCGTCAGTGGGTTACATTTAGTTGGTGAGGAATAAAACACTCTTGTCGCGAGCACACAGTAGCTCTTTGTCACAAAATTGCTTTTAAAGCTGTTTTATCTTTTGTTTGATGCTAATAAATTCTCTTTCTTCAGCCACAGAGAATGAAGGGTCTGAATTATCAGATGAAGATGATGACGAGGATGATGTCAGTGAGGAGGAAATGCCTTCAGTCAAACCAGCCAAGAAAAAGCAGAAAGCTTAATTAGAGATGCTTACACCAGACCTTTATATGTTTTATACAGTATTACTAGACTTAATGTTCTACTACGAGACGTGACGGAGTTGTGTAGAATTTAATGGAATTTTGTACTTGCAGATGTGGTTGCAAATGTTAAATAGAAAGGTTAAAGCCTCCATACAACCAGCTCCATGAACATTCATGTTGAAAATGTTTTAATAGTTAATACTGTTTCTTGTGTATGTAAGTAACTGCCAACACCAAACTTCAGATTCACTCTCAGTTCAGGAACTGAGAATTCACACAGTCCTGTTCCCACTGAGCCACTTCATGCTGGGTTGATTCCAGATGTACAATCCTTGTAACATACTGTAAAATTATATTGAGTGACAGGGTTTTTATATCCTAGTCCCTTTTTTAAGGACTGATAGAGTGAAGTTTTGCATGGTGCATTTTATGTCGAGATCAGTCTAGAAGGACTTGCCATGGTTGCCGTTTTTGTATTTTTACAGATTTATTTACAGATTCTGTAAATAAAATTTGTTGTTTTAGTAGTATCAGTGCAATTGTTGCCTTTTTAAAAGCTCACTTTATAACTTTTGGCAAATTTGGTTTTGTAGCACTAGCACTGATGATGAAAGCTGTAATAACAATTGCTGTGTTTGGTACAATTACATCAACTGACTGAAAAAACAGTGAGAGTTATCATTTTATCATGATATACAGTATTAACATTCTCAATAATTTGAGTATAATTATATACAACATTTGATAATCAGAAGGGCAATGTGATCACAATAAAACCATAAAGGTATACATTCAGATAAGAGTGTTCTACAGTAAAAAAAAAAAAAAAAGTTTTTCTTTTTTTTTTTTTTTTACTAGGGGGAGCAGGACACTATAGTTGATTTATGTACGTGAGGATAGCAAAATAAAGTAAACTGTGACAAATCATACCCAAAAATTCTTCATACAGTGGGCTACCAGTAAAATTGAGAAAAATTTGGGACCAAAAATTATTCAGACACTTTGACCTGACCATGTTTTGCTTAAGTGTTTTCTTAATTGCTAATGCGACCTTTTTACACCACAGACTGAACAAAATTAAGCATTGCTTGGTAATTGGTTGAAATTGGTCAATTGTAAATTGGTATTATCTAATTGTGTACAGCTGACAGTTATTCAACCTAATTCATTACATACCTTTCTATCAATGTTATCTGACGTTATCAAGAGGATTTTTTCTGACAAAGTTTAACTCTTAAGTTCTTGTCATATTTTATTACCTTTTCTAAACTATAGCGAATAAACTGATAATGTAAGAAATGTTGAAGGTGTCTGAATAAATTTTGGTTTGACTATATATAATCATCGAACACATCTATTTATTCATTATTTTTGTACTTTACCTTTTACATTCCTGCTGCTTTCTGAATTGTGTTGTGTTTCATAATTCTATTATTTGTAAATTGACTCTTTAATGCTAGGTTCTATTGTGACAACTTCTGACAACCCCATATAGAGTTGAGTAGTATGTTTTTCTTGGGCAATAACGGTGAAAATGTTCAGTGGCTGTAATAAATGTACTCGGACCTGACTTTAACGTATACAGACAGTGACTTTGAAACCTGACCAGAGAAATGCTCAGAAAAAAACGCTGTTCCTTTAAAATGACGCCAACGGCCGGTGACGTCACTTAGCTCCCCCTAGTAACCCTCGTCGGCGTCTCGGAAGATACCTGGAGAAAGATGGTGAGAAGTTATCTGCCTCTAGTCATGTCTTTGTGTGTGTGTTATAATGAGTTCAGATTTAGGAAACTTAGAAAGTACGGGTCATTTATCGGAACTGGGAGCGTGTAGTCTGGATCGTTAGCAGCAGTAGTGGGTTTTCTGTAGGAGTGAAACCTAATGGCTCAGCGGAGCTACTTATTTTTCCGAAGCAGGAATGATTTCACTAAGTCAAGCAATTTAGACATTATGTTAATTACTGTAAACTAAGCACAACTCCGAAAACCAGAGCTCCTGCCTCTTTTTATACTGACATCTAGACGTAAAATTCATATTTAATATTACAAAGGTATTGGTAAGCAATTATGATATTGTATGCATCAGTGTTAAAGCGACCAAATGTTGTCATCATTTAATCACTTTTCAATTTCAAGTATAAAGTGACAGTGAATGGTGACTGAGGCTGTTATTCTAACATCTCCTTTTGTGCGGCATTTTGTATTTGACACAATCAACTGAATAACATTATTATCTTATTTGTCTTTTTAATACTTTCTTATAGAAGGTTATTAAAAGAGTTTATTTCTCACAAATTTCCTCACAGTGTCATTGTCATTGCTGTCTTGTTTAAAATCTGGTTATTGAGCATATTATGTTTATTCCAGGGTTTGTTGTCAATTCTTAGAAAACTAAAGAGTGCCCCAGACCATGAGGTACGCATTCTGCTCCTGGGATTAGACAATGGTGGAAAGACAACACTTCTCAAGCAGCTCGCCTCTGAGGATATTAGTCACATCACCCCAACACAGGTAACACACAAAAAGTAGCTACTAGACACTTTCTCCCTTTTGCAGAAATTACAAATTTCTGTGTAAAAAAGTTGAGATGTTTATTATCCTTGTTTCATAGAGTAATCTCGTAAGTGCTTCTGCTTTTATTTTGGTCTTGCTTTAGCACAGCACAACCTTGCCCAGTTGCTTTTAATTCTTCTGTCCTTGCCAGGGCTTTAACATTAAGAGCGTGCAGTCTCAGGGCTTCAAACTAAATGTCTGGGACATTGGAGGCCAGAGGAAGATAAGGCCGTACTGGAGAAACTACTTTGAAAATACAAACGTGCTCGTGAGTGTTTCTTAGGAGATTTGTGTTTATGAGTTATGCATAGCCAGACCACTGAACAAATTGTCAGTTTATAGTTCATTTCTTCTCATATACACTACTGTTCAAAAGTTTGGGGTCAGATTTTTAAGAAAGAAGTGGCTTGTGCTCACTCAGATTGCATTTCTTTGATCAAAAATAGAGCTAAAACTGATATTATGAAATATTATTACAATTTTATATGTGTGTATTTTAATATATACTTAATGTAATTTATTGCTGTGATGGCAAAGCTTCATTTTCAGCATTACTCCATGTCACATATAATTCTAATATGCTGATTTGCTTCTCAAGAAACATTTTTTATTAGCAAGGTTGAAAACGCTGCTTAACATTTTTGTGAAAACCGTAATGCATTTCTTTATTGATTTCAAAACAGCATGTATTTGAAAAGGAACTCTTTTGTAACATATGTCTTTTACTGTCACTTTTGATCTTTTTAATGCAAGTATAAATTCAAAACATACTGACGCCAAGCATTTAAACAGTAGTGTATTTATATTTCTTGTGTAAGTAATATTTCCTAAATTGTTTGCTCTTTGGCATTATGTTTTTCAGATTTATGTCATAGACAGTGCAGACAGGAAGCGATTTGAGGAAACGGGGCAGGTATATATAGCAAATCTGTTTATTATTGCTTGTCATGTTTGTGTGTGTGCATCCAAGGCCTCTGCGGGATATTTCTCAGACTATGTGGCTTCACACTTTCTCAGGTTTTGCTACATTTTCCAGCTTAGTACAGTTCACTGCAGCATTAATATTTCAAACTGATTTGAAGTGAAACACTACTAGATTGCTCCAAAGAAATGTGTAAGCATATATGTGATCTTGATATGCATTTGTTCAAGCAAATGCATGCTAAAAGTATTTGAATGAGCTATTTTGAATGGTTCATCTGATGTGCAGGAGTTGGCCGAGCTGCTGGATGAGGAGAAACTTAGTGGCGTACCTGTTTTGATCTTTGCCAATAAGCAAGACCTGCTGACTGCTGCTCCGGCCTCTGAGATCGCGGAGGGACTGAACCTGCACACCATTCGGGACCGCATGTGGCAAATTCAGTCCTGCTCTGCACTTACAGAAGAGGGAGTTCAGGTGAATCATCGGCCTTCTTTTATTTACCCATGCATTTGTTTTGGACCTTCCCATCAGAGATTGGTTTTCACATAAAGTGCTTCCTTCTTTCAGGATGGAATGAACTGGGTCTGCAAGAACGTTACTGCAAAGAAGAAGCAGTGAGTCTAGTGTATTTTTCTACAGCCGTTCAGGGAATGTTAAAAGCAAGCTTTGTGGACTGTGTGGATTCCCTACCAGCTCGTTCAGGTTAAAGGGATCTGAGGAGGTTCAGAGAGCCTTTTCTTTTTTCTCCTCTGAACCACCTCAGCCACTGCCTCAATTCCTCCGTCATCGGTCTGACTCACAGTCACTCCATAAACACTGTGCAATAGCATGATACTCCGAATGAATTTGATTTATAATGTCCAATCAACCACTGAAGTGAGTATAATAAGTGTTTTTGCATTATTATTATTATTATTATTTAGTCTGTTTGATCTTGGAATCTATTTCAATACCTTGGATTTCTATGATTTATTGCTTTTAGATGTTTTATACTGTGCTAGATTTTTTAACAACATTTCTTGCATAGCCTGTGTTATTTGACTGGCTTGAACCAAAGTGTTATGAAAGCCAAGTTCTTAAATAGACAATTTACTGTGGGATGAGTGCTTGTAACATGTTTAGCCAACTTAAGCATCTGGCTGTGGCAGTGGAGAGGTTCTTTCTTTATGAGGACATCAGATTGAGAGCATTATATTCACATGATGCCTCCTGTAAAAGTCAGAAGACTGAAGCACCAGATCAGCAGCACAGATGCTCTTGTCACAAAAAGGAAATCAAAAGTAGATGGCATTTATGACCTCTTAATAGTTTGGATTTTTCTTCTGTGATTTTGTGTCATAAGATTAAAACAGGCCATTTTATGTCTATTTCCTGCATTTTCTACTCAGTTTTTTAGGAATGTGGGAGGGTGTTTGCTGGATGTTATGAGGAACTGATCTGATGAATAATGACTCCTGCTTTCAGAACATTATTTCAGTTAACCACACTTATACTTTTCATTGTTATCATTCCATCATTTTTCTCTCTTACAAAACAATACATTAGAATTTATGAGTAGAAATATTTAAGAAATGTCTACAACATGAAAATGAAATATTTCTCGTTTGCATTTTCTTATTTTCAACACTTAAGCTCTAATTATATCCATAAATCTTTTTTGTATGTCTGTATGAAGGGGTAAATTTAATGGAGAAAGTCAAATGAGTAATTTCAAGTCTTAAGCCCAAAACACACTGCATGATTTTAGCAATCCTATAAGATCACTGCATGTCACACTGTGCGACATGGATCTAATAAACTTGGCTACAAGTACGACGTGTGTAGACTGTACGATGATGAAACCTATTGACTCGTACGATACGACGCACGTTACTACAGAAGAATAAAGGTCATCAGCAATGCGCTAGTGGTAAACAAAAAAAAGCATGATAAATCACACTTTAGCAGTTGTATTTTTTATGTGTGCTGGAAAAAAAGTGGAAGCGGCGAAAGAGGAAGGGACAAGAGCTTGAGGTAAGCAGTTTTATGTTTTAGCGCCATGTCGCGTTGATTTCA